CGGGATCGGGACAGCAGGAACAGGACCGGGATCGGGACAGCAGGAACGGGAGCAGGGAGTCAATCTCACATATAAACCCTATCCATGCCCATCAGTATCCAAAGGGGGTGTCAGAGGATGGACCAGGCTCTGCCCAGTCCAGATGCTGCCCTGCCCCAGCACCTGCCTGTCACAGCCTGTGCTCATGGGGGAGGCTCCTGACTGTCCCATACATAGATGGAGCATCCCTGCTCCAGGATAACTTACCTGAGGTGCTGACATGTAGGAAAAAGTGTTTGTTTTGCTCAACAGTGACTTTTGTTTGGATTTTTTTTGACAGAGTAAAATTGGACGACATAGTTGCAGATGATTATGAAGAGACAGATGATGGCTTTACTTACACAACAAAAGAAGACAAAAAAAGGCACAGACACAAGCAGGACGAGGAAGAATTCTCTAGGAATGAAGACAGGCATAAAAGGAAAAAGAAAAAGGACAAGCATAATCTTGAGTATTCCTCTTGTAGGGAAGAGAGCTCTGTAGATATTTGTGACTCTCAAAAAAGGTACACGAAAAGAAAAAGGAAGGAAGAAGTTAGTGGAAGAAATAGACTTGCAGAAGGTAAGGAAGAGAGCTCTACTGGCCATTCTAAAAAGCTTAAAAAAGCTGAGAGGGAGAAACAGTTGGCAACAAAAAAGAAGGATGAAAAGCAGACAAAGGCTGCTGCAGCAAAGATGGCTTTAGAACGGGAAAATGAGAACTTTTCTGTAAATTCTGGTAAAAATAGCACCAAAAAGATCACAACACAGTCCAGAAAAAAGAGGGTGGAAACTTCAGATTCCTCCAGCACATCGTCTGACAGTGACAGCAGTGAATTAAACATAAAGCAAAACAAATCTTCCCATAAACCCGTAGCGGCGACACTTCCCAAAGACAAATCCCAAGCTGCTGCAAATTCTGATGCAAAAACGAATAAAGTGACTGTAAAGTCTAACACCGAAAAGACTAAGACTGCAGTTAGTAAAAATGCCAAAAAACCCCAGTCCTCTAGTTCAGATTCTGACTCGAGTACCGAGGATGAGAAGGCGACACCAGCACAAGACAGCACGGCAAAGGAAAAGTCTCTGCCCACCCACACGGTGGCTGTAAAAGCCAGTAGCAAGGCTCCCAAAGCAAAGAGCTCCTCTTCAGGGTCTGACAGTTCAGATTCAGACACACCTGTTACTAAAAAACCTGCAGCAGATGCTGGACTGAGTAATTCCATAGGAAGAAACTGTATTAAACCAACCAATATTCAGGGACCATTTGCCAGCCCAGGCCGTGGAAGGGGGCGTGGATCGGGAGAGGATTGTTTCTGGAGAGGACCCAGGGGCCGTGGGTTTCGTGGGATGATGAGGGGCCAAGGCCATGGGAGAGGAGCAAACCCTGGCTTCTTCTATAACTACAGCAGTGAAGGCCAGAAACAGAGGCAGTTAAATGAATCTGCGACAAACACTTCTGTTGTTGTCCAGGTGAGTGACTTGCACAGTCAGAGGTCACCTTTCTCTTGCAGCTTTAACTATTCAAAAAGTCTATAGGATGAGAGTAATTCATGAAAGCAGAAATAGCTTAATGGGATAAAGGCTGATCTTAACTTAGTAAATCTGTTATTTATCATATCTCCATTTGTCAGCCTGAGGAAGTGTTTGTATTTAAGTGATTATACTACACATCTCAAAACAAAGCACTCACATGGGTACCTTACCCTTCTCAGAGCTTCTCACAACCCATACAGCATAAACATTATCTTCTGGTTTTATTAATACAGTAATTAAGTCAATGGGATACTGTTTTTTTCCACAGAATCCCGTGGAAGTTCCCAAGAGAGACTATAGTGTGTTACCTCTTCTAGCTGCTCCACCCCAAGTGGGAGAAAAGATTGCCTTTAAGGTAAAGAACTCTGGAAATACCAAATGTTAGTGGGCTAAAATTGCTTCATTTGGGCCACTCTAAGCTTCTGACCTAATAATTTCTCTAAAAAATTCTCTCATTGTAAAGTCTGACTTAGATTTTTACAAAGGTTTGGAGCCTGTGCATAAGTTAAATGCATTTCTTTAGACTTTCTGTATTTGTGTAACACAAAGAAATGTTGTGTCTGCTGTCATTTCAGTGTGAATTTCCATGCACATATTGTTATTTCTCTAGATACCTTTTCTACAATATTATTGCCAGTCTTACCATACAAATAATTACACTTCACTGCAAAAACTTACAATTTGTTATTTGTATTTCTTTCAACAGCGCTTGGAACTAACTGAAAATTACAGTCCTGAAGTTTCAGACTATAAGGTACTGATTTTCTTTCCTCCCATAATTCACTCACTATTATAGGTGAGGTATGACTTTGAATATTTTGAGGTTGTGCAGTGTTTTTCTTTGCATCCAGTTGGCTCCAGAGGCCATTCCTGGTGCAGCAGTAAAAATGAAAACTAATTGAAAATTTGAAAGGTGAATAAAAATAAAAAAAGTTATTTAAAAAAAAAAGCCAAACCCAACTGCAAGTATTATTGATGATTTTGGAGATGACAAAAAACACAGACCTTCAACTAGAAAAATGTAGATGTATTTGAGTCTGCTGTGGTTTGAAGTCAGGGCAAGTTCTTGAAACTGGTGCAAGTAAAATTTCGTAGCTACTTGAGAGAACTTGGTTTCTGGAGAAGTACTGAGTTAAACTAAAAAGTCAGTGACAGTAAGTAAGCTTTGGTTGCCAGTAGCTACAGATTGCTGAGCTTTAATTCTCTGCAGATTTTATACACAGAGATAGGAAAAACTGATAGCCAAATTTCCTCTAGAATTGGTCAAGTAGCACAGGGGTTGTAGATATGGAATAGTTATCCAGTGCTGAAGTGTATCTTACCTGATTCTTTTCTTGTTGCTTTATGAAGGAGGCAAAAATAATCAGTTGGAATGCTGATAAAAAACAGATCGAGCTCGAGATCCTTTCAGCACCAGCAGGACAAAGTACGTACCTTGTTGTCATGTGCATCACTTGGCAAACAGCTCATGTTTCAGGAGTATTCCCAATTTCCTTGGGTTCATTCTCAACACACCCCTTCCCTCCTCATTCCCTCCCCAAAAAGTCTCTTTAAATGGAGGGGTTCTAACCCTTGCTAGTTGAACTGAAGATGCTCGTGGGCATGTAGAAAAGTGAATTTCTTCAGTCAGTATGAGTGCTCAGTAACTCACCTCTAGTGTGGCTTCATTTTCTGAAGCAAGCTGAAATCAATATGTGGAATTACAGAGAAGATGTGAGACCATAATGCCATTCTTTGCAACATCAGTGAAGCCACTGCCTTCAGTGGATGTGGAAGTGAGTCCCTGCAGTGACAAGGTGCAGTTCCTGAGACCTGAAACAAGGAATGTTTCTGAGACTGAGAGGGTGTCCTGCAGTTGCCATTGAAGCCAGAATTAATGAATTGTCATATGGATATTTTTCTCAACCTTAAGCAACACATTGTTACCTTTTTCATACATGTAGTCATATGAGTCACCTTAATTTTGGTGTGTAGTATTCAGCTCTACCTCAGATTTTTTTTTGTTGGAATTACAAGCCCAGACACACAACTGTAAACCAAACAGAACAAAACTGGGGTTTGAGGTAAACATTTAAACTTTTGTTGTTGTTGTTTATAGTTAATTGAGTTGTTTGTTTGTTTTTAAGTTGCTAAGGAGCCCGGGAAATTCGATCTGGTTTACCAGTCTGCAGATGGAGCAGAGCTGATCGAGTACGCTGTCCCTCAGGACACCAAGGTACGTGGGTCCTGCTTTGAATCCCGTTACCAGTTTTGCATAGCTGATACTTGCCCTGCTTTATGGCTCTCTGCATCTCAGGGAGATTCCCTTTACAATAATGGGAGTAATCTGATTAAAATAAATGGAAGCAAAAATAAATGTTCCTTCCTAGCAAGAATGTGCATGATCACAAGGTAAGAATCACTTCTTGCATATTACTCAATTAACTGGGGTCAAAGCCAGCATCAAACTGTAACTTTTCATTTTGGCCAATAAAATAAGCAACATCATGTCTCACAGAGTATCCATTCTTTCAAGCTTATTGATTTCATGCACTGTTGTTCTTACCTGCATCTTCCCTTACCCAGGATGTCAGGCAGGTTGAGGTTCGTCAAGAGGATCAATGAATCACGGGAATGAGTCTTTGTTCAGGCCTAGACAAAGAGTAATGACAGAGAAACTGCATCTGTTGGTGTAGCTGGTACCTGCTAAGTGTTGTCTGTGCTTTGTTTTCAGATAACTGAAAGCTGGGATGCCCTGATAGAGCCAAGACTGATTGTTGAGCCTCCAGTCAATGGATCCAGCATTGAAAATGGAACCATCTAAAGTGTGAAAAAATGTACATAACTGTACAGACTTGTTTTGTGAAATGCTGTCTTCTGGTTCTGAGGGTGGCAGGTGCACTGGTGGATATTGTTAATAAATTGTTTTAAAAAGAAGTATGCCAAAAGAAAAACACTTTTTTTTCCTTAGGGTGTGTTTTTACACTGTACAGGAAGACTTTGTTTAGTCTAACACAGATCTGTTGGGTTTTTTTCTTAATATTTATATCCTACTGCTGTGAGCTGCAGAACTGGAATAGTTTGATCACAAGATAAAATACAATCTTGTACTGTCAGTAACTTATTGAAATGTCTGGGTTTGGCTAAAACCATATAACTGTCATACAGAGGTCGTTTTTATTTAAAAATTAAATACTGTTGATATGCACACCTCCTCCTGCTGCTGAGCATCATACAAATGCCATGAGTTTGCAGTTACTTACAGAGTTCATCTGAACATGTCCAGAAATCCATGTGGATTTCAAGCTTCTGTAATTTTGAGGCATATAAATAGCAGTGGTAACTCAACCTTGCTTAGAACCAGTGGAAAATAACACAAATCCCCAGCAAAATTGTGCCCCATTGTGTTAATCTGTGTAGGCTCTGAAAACCCTTTTGTTTGTTTGTTTTACATCAAACCCTTTTGCTCTGTAAGAGCTGTGCTGCCTTTCTTCTTTCCTCCCCAGCAGCACAGTGGGTCACTGGGTGCTGGCAATGTGCTGCACTGACAGCTCTGATAATTATTAACATTGAGGGGACAACTTGTACCTCTGTACACCTGGCAAGTCTTACACTTCCAGATAATCCCTGTCCTGGGTAGTTGACTCTTACAGAGAAGACATGGAAAAAACCCAAAAACTCTAGATACAAACACCTGAAAAACTGTACATGGTGGTTTGCTAATATGTGCTCTGACCAGTGCATGATTACATTAAAATACTGCACATCTCTCCATTAGCCCTATTAAAATGTCTTGTTTGTGAAGGAATAATTTTTATACAAGTAAAACTGATTTGTGTATTGTGGTTCTCTTTAGTCGCCATTATTTCATGCTAGAATTTGGGTTTTTTAGAGAAATGGACAGTTAGATTCATGTGTGGCTGTTCTTGCAAACTGGACAAGAAGAAGATGCCAGACACTGGCACAGTGATGCTGAGACAGTGGGGATTAATGGAAAGATTCTTTTTCTAAGGGAAATTGTTCATTTTTAATTCTTAAGAAATTGTAAAAGCTAAGTGCAAGTATTTCACAGCACTGTTAGAGCAGGACTCGCCTCTTGTTCCACTGCCTACACTGTATTTTGGCCATGTAGTTCAGGACCACAGGAAGTTCTCAAGTAATTTCAAGGAAGCAAAGAGAGCAGTAACTTCATTAGCTATGTAAATGGTAATTAATTTTTAATGTTACAATGTTATTGTCTTTTAGACAAAAAGAGTGATTTGGCTTCCTCAAAACCAGAATTTCAAGCCCTCTTTGACAATGGGGAACTTAAATTGCTCATCTGAGCTCTAAACATCCTGTGCTCTGCTCCAGAAGCAAAAGCTACAGTTGCCAGGGCGTATATTTACCCTTTTTATTTACATACCTTTGTATCAGTAGATACCAGATGAGTGCTGCAGAAGGTACTGAGCCTTTGAAAGATGACAATGGCTTGGTCCAGATAAGCCCAAGGAGTTCATTCACTATAGAAAAATAAAAAATGTAAACATTAAGAGCTGCTCCTTGGTCCAGTCACCAGTAACACATGCACAACGCAGCTCTCTAAGAATGTTCCTTTGCAGTCCCTGTCAGCCACCACCTCTCAGGCACCCCCAAGTGTTTGCATTTCCTCTGACAGCAGTTACAAAGTCCTGATCAGCCCATCCCAACCGTGCTGTAAGTGCATGGCACCGTGCCCATCTCCTCGAAACTGAAACTCCTCCACCCTCCAGCATATGAGAGACTCTGTCCCTGAAGGTTTGCTCCTGTCACAGCCTTGCAGCTCCAAATGCCTCCTCTTGTCCTTTCTGCACCTGTATCTGTCACAAAACAGTGACTCAGAGCCCTGGGCAGCTTATCCCGAAGGAGTACTGCAAGACTGGAGTGATAACTGATGTGGGTAGAGGTCCATGTTAATCTCTATAATGTAGGTTTGCAACGACCATCCAGATTTAATTCAGTCTTACAAAAGAAATGACTAGGAATTCATTTCAACTGTAACAGATGACCCACTATTGCCTCTTTTGAGTGCTTTATACAATTCCTGAACATTTTTAGAAGCCCCTAAGGACTAATGACTACACGATTGCGTGCTAATACTTTTTAATGACATTAAAAGGAACCTCAGCAGTTCTCCATACAAGGTGTCCTATGCCCACTGGACAAGAGGAGAGAGCAGACAGCTCCTTGTGCTGCAGATCACCAGGCTCTGTTTAAATTACTGGGGGGCCACAGAATTTGTGCCAGGCTGCTCTGTTTCATCCATGCTGCCAGTGTGGGTGGAGAAGTACAGAGAGCCCTGAGCAAGTCCCTGGGATACCAACAGACAGGGCAGAAGAAGGAGGAGTAAGAATTTGGAATCAGGTTAGTTAAAACGGGAGTAGTTGCACCTGTTGCTATTCAGCATCAGTGTTCCTGTTAGAAACAGCGATTATTCAACAGTTAGACTGAGGAAAAGAAAAAAAAAACTCGAGGAAATACCTTCTGTTGTAATGGCTTCCACATTCACAGCGCGGTAACCCGTGCTTTAAAAATGCTGGATTGACATCAGCTGTTGGAACCAGACGATGTTTAAGGTCCTTTCCAACCGAAACCACTCTACGAGTCTATTTGATCTTCAACAGCCAGGTTACCCATAGCTCGGAGCAGCCGGGATTTGGGGGTCATCCCTTCCCTGAGCCCCAAGCAGGAGCTTGCGGGCTGTGACCGCGGCAGCTGCCGGACTGCGCTGGGGTGTCCCGGGTTCCCTCTGTGCGGGTTCTGGGACGGGAGTGGGGCTGCGGGGGGCTGTGGGGAGCTGCGGGGGGGCTATGGGGGTTGCGGGGGGCTAGGGGGGGCTGCAGGGCCGGCAGCCCGGGTGGGCACCGCACCCGACATCACCCGCTGCGGTTTAGAAACCAAACCCGAGGTCTCTGGGCTCGGAGAGTGACGCTGCCCCGACCCCACGACCCGGAGCCCCTCGACCCGGTCCAGCCGCGGCCCCGGTGCGTGGAGGGGTGTGAGTTCAGCCCGGGGGTCGCGGGCGGCCGGTCCCGGTGCTCCCCCGTGCCCATCCCGGGGCAGAGTCCGCAGTGCCCCGGGGGGGACGGGCAGGTGCTGCCGGGGCTGTCACAGGGCTGCCGTCCCTCCCATCGGGCGGGGGCGGGACACGCAATTTTCCGGAAAGCCCCGGCCCCAGTTTCGTTTTTTCCAGACTCAGTTTCGTTTCTCCCTCCCCAGTTTCATTTCTGGCTGTTCGGAGCAGCGGCGGACGCGGCGATGGCGACGCTGGAGCCGGAGCTGAGCCTGGCGGGGCTGGAGGAGGAACTGACCTGCTGCATCTGCCTCTGCCTCTTCAGCGGCCCCGTGACGGTGCCCTGCGGCCACAACTTCTGCGCCGCCTGCCTGGAGCTCAGCTGGGCCGGGCTGTCGGAGGGGTTCAGCTGCCCCCAGTGCCGCACCACCTTCGCGGTCCGCCCGAAGCTGCAGAAGAACACGGTGCTGTGCCGGGTGGTGGAGCAGCTCCAGGGCCGCGCTGGGGCGGGGGGTGAGGAGCAGGAGGAGGAGGAGGAGGATGGAGGGGCGGCGAAGTGCGAGGCGCAGGAGCCCCCCGTGTACTGCGACAGCTGCCGGGAGGCGCCGGCCGTGCAGACCTGCCTGACCTGCACCGCGTCCTTCTGCGCCGAGCACCTGCGGCCGCACCGCGACAGCCCCGCCTTCCGCGACCACCAGCTCTGCCCGCCCCTGCGAGACCTCCAGTACCGCAAGTGCCCCTCGCACAACCGGCTCTTCGAGTTCTTCTGCAGCAATCACGGCAGCTGCATCTGCTCCCTCTGCCTGCTCGGGCACAAGGTGTGCCACACCAGCCCCTTGGAGGAGGCTAAAGCCAATGCCCAGGTGAGCAGCTGCGGGGTCTGGTGCCCTCCGGGGCGGGAACATCCTCCCAGGGACACCCTGGAGCCTCCCTTCACTCCTTCAGGGAGGGCGAGGGGGAGGCTGGACCAAGACTTGGACTGTAAATCTTGCATCTGGCCTTGGCAGACTGTTATCTCCCTCCCAGGCACATCTTCAGATTGATTCCTTGTGTTTTCCTCCTCTCTCCAAGGAGAGAGTCATTCCTTGTGTTTTTCTCCTTTCTCCAAGATGTTGCTCAAGGGCCAGGGTTCTGTGAAGGTGCTGTCATGGGGCTGGCTGATTGCCAGCTCCTGGGCTGGGCTGGGCTGCGTTGACCAGTGAGGTCTCCCACACTCCTGGTGTCATCCAGAACTCCAAGCCTCCTCTGCTGCCAGGGCTCACTGCGTGGCCTTCTCACAGGCTGACCCGAGGGGCTGTGGACAGACATTGCCCTGGGTATGTTTTTAAGGCTCAAAGAATTATAAAAGTAGCCTAGGGAGATCTCCAGCACATAGGAAGTGCTCTTCTCCAGCCAGAAGGAGATTCACAGAGTGGAAGCCTGGCCTTCATATCTTACAGTGCAGCTGAAACTTGAAGGGTAGTTGAGTAAAGCATGCCTGAAAAGTTCAGGTGGCCAAACTCCCATCTGTTTGGTGTTTGTGTGTAGAGCTTTCCTGCAGAACTCACCCCTGACTGAGCTTAGCAGCATCTTGAGCTAAAGGAACAGGTAACTCACATCTGAGTGATAAAATTCTCAAAGTGAGAGGGGTGAACGGTAGCATTAACTTTGTGCCCAAAGCCCAGCCTGAGAGCTAACATTTATTGTTAGCATGTGAACTGCTGAAAGCACTCGGTCCTTATCAAGAGTGAGTCAACAGTGTGCATCTTGCTTCTGGGAGAGGTGGAGCTGCAGGGAGGGTGTGGGTGCCACAAGGCACACGTATGCAGGACAGTACTTCTACATCCTGGGAGGTTTCAGGAGAAACAGGTTTTAAACTGCTGGTACTAAATGCTTACAAGGTTATTTAAAACTTTCTGTGAGCATG